TTTTTTGGAGACAGAGTCTTGCTCTGTTGCCTTGACTAGAGTACAGTGGTATCTTCAGAGCTCACAGCAACTTCAAATTCCTGGACTCAGGCAATCCTCCTGCCTCAGCCTCGCAGGTAGCTGGGATTATAGATGTATGTCATCACACATCTGGCTAAGTTTTTTATTTTTTTGTAGAAATGGGGTCTCTCAATCAGGCTGGTCTTGAACTCCTGACCTCAGAGATCATCCCACCCTGGTGTCCCAGAGTGCTATGTTGACAAGCTTGAGCCATGCATCTGGCCCATTTCTCCTATTAATTTGTTGTTTGTGAATTGCTTTGTGGTGAACCTTTGGAGGGCAGAATGGGAAATTTTCTCCTGGTCCCTGCACCATTCCCTAGCATACCACTCTTCAGATCCTTAGAATCTCAAAAGGGTCATTTTTTTGGTATGATAATGAGTTATATGGTGTCTGAGACCCCCTTGGTAGCTTCTGGATGCAGCTGGTCACTGGAAAGACCAAGGCAGGATTAGAGGGTTGGGACTTCCCATCCTACCCACAACCTCCCAGGAGGAAGAGGGGCTGAATATTGAGTTGATTTAATCAATCATGCTTATGTAATGAAGCCTCCACAAAAATCCAAAAAGACAGGATTTTGGAGAGCTTCCAGACAGTTCAACATGTGTTCCTGGTGGGTGACCCACTGGAGAGGGCATGGAAGCTCTGCGCCTTTCCCTGCACCCTGCCCTCTACATGTCTTCATCTGTATCCTTTGTGATATCTTTTATAATAAACCAAAAGTGTTTATTTATAGCACTATTTATTTATAATAAAGCAAAAGTGCTTCTCTGAATTTTGTGAGTTGCTGTAGCAAATTAATTAAACCCAAGGAGAGGTGGTGGGATCCCTGATTTGTAGCCAATCAGGTCGAGAGCATATGTAAAATCACCAGGAGTGGTGGCTCATGCTTGAACTCCTAGCACTCTGGGATGCCGAGGTAGAGGATCACTTGAGCTTAGGAGTTTGGAAACAGCCTGCACAAGAGTAAGACTCCATCTCTACTAAAAATGGAAAAGTTAGCCAGGTGTTGTGGTGGGCACCTGTAGTCCCAGCTACTTGGGAGGCTGAGGGAAGAGGATTGCTTGACCCCAGGAGTTTGAGGTTGCTGTGAGCCCTGACGATGCCACAGTATGCTAGCCTGGGCAACAAAGTGAGACTCTGCAAAAGAAAAAAAAAAAAAAGGCAAGTAAACCACTTGCAACTGGTATTCAGGTAGGTAGTGTTAGGACTGATTGGAATTAGAGGACATCCAACCGTTGTCCACTGCAAAATTGACCGCTTTCTTAGTGTATGGGGGAGAAGTCTGTTTCTAGGAAAGGTGTGTAGAAAGAGTCCATTAGCTCTAGAGGCTCAAATCAGTTCATAGGTGGAGATGCTAGTACTAGGCAAGTGTTCATTCGAGAGCATCGAATGAACTGTTTCTGAATGTAAAAGAAAATAGAAATTCTTTAGAAACAGTTCTAATCTTACAGGAGTAAACTGGAGACTCCTCTCCATACTCCTTTTCCCGCCCCTGTTTTGTCTGTATCCAGATTTCCTCTTACTATCTGCAACCTTTTTTTTCCAGTGACAGGACAGAGTTTATTGACAGAAAGATTAACAGAAAGATTGATAAAAGCAAAAGAGGAGGAAGCAAGGGAAGGGGAACAGAACCTCAGGCAGTGGAGGGAGAGAACCCAAGGGGAAGTGCCAAGCTATCTGCAATTTGCCCAAGACAAAGCAGCACTAGTTTCAGAAGCTCCTTGCACAGCTGGCCTTAGTGCTCTGGGAAAAAGGCCTGTCCTAACCCAAGTATCCTATCTGAACCACTGAGACCCCAGGGGGAATTCCTAGGATCAATTTTATTTCCAAGGTACTAGGGAGGCTCACAGGGATTTCGGGGATGCCAAGTATGGAAGCGGCCTTACCCTGTACCATTTTGGTTAGGTTGTGGTGACATGATTTGTTATTGACTCCCGCTAGGGCTTTCCTCGGACACCCTTAGCCCCACTCCCGGTCTTCCCCCAGCTCCCGGAGTCCCTGGATCCCCTCCCGCCCCATTCTGCGCCTCCCAGCAGGGACTAAGGCCCCAGCCTCACCCGCCTCGCCGCTGTCCAATTACTACACTGTGCCGCATCGGCCCCGCCCATTAGGCTTGTCCCGCCCTCCTGGCCCCACCAAAAAACCCGCCGCCGCTGCCGCGCCTCCCAGCTCACTGCGGCCTGGCTCCGCCCAGGTAACACGTCACCGCTGCGCGACGTTGCGCGGGCAGCTTACGTATGGGCTGTGGGACTAAAGTATCGCTGGTTCGGATTTCTGTTGTGACCCTCTGCGTGGCCTTGTTACAGGCCTCAGTTTCCCACGTGCCATTAGGGTCCTGCACTGCCAGTCCTCAAGGCTTCTCCGTAGCGACGGTGGCGGCCGCAGGTTGACTCCTCGTGCGGGCGAGCAGCAGTCTCCCGGGCGGGAGGCTAGGAAGGAGCTGGGGGTCCATCTGAACCAGGACCCTGTCCCTCTGGGGTCGAGGGGGTTGGAGGTGGGGAAGGGGGTGGGGCTGCACTTGTTCTCGTGGGGTCTAGCGGGAGAGAGGCCAAGAAGAGAGCAGAGGGGTGCACGTGTCTCGGATTCCTGGAAGGAGATGAGAGAGGCAGAGGCTTTCCCACAAGACCCACCCTGGGCAGTCCCTGGGTTTCTGTCCTGGTGAGGTCGAGAGGGAGGGAGGTGGTGAACCAAGGCCTCTGAGCAGGATTTCCATTTTAGAGACAACAGGATTCTTCCTTTCTGGTCCCCTCCTTAGTTAGGGAACCCTTGCACTCTACCAAGGACTCCTTGCCCTCGGTCACCGTGCAGTCTTATTTCCTGGAGTCTGTGTGTAGGAAACGCTTGGCTTTCATGTCGGCTACCTCAGCACAGGCTCCCCTGGGAATCGGGGAACATAACCACGCAGTCCTGGGCCGTTTTCTCCTTCTGTAAACAGGTGTGATAATCCTCACCTCACTGGGTTTTTATGAAAACTAGCAACGATCTTAGAAAGCAATGTGTGAGCCAAGCTCTACCATTTAGAGCTGCAGTCTATTTAGAACTGTTTCCCTGGCTTGGTAACCCACTAGAAGGGACAGCCTGTGCCCTGCCACAGACTGACTCAGAATCTCTGCTTTTAGAAAAATCTCTCCAGGTGATTCTAATCTGAGAAAGCCAGAGGGTTACTGGAAGAGGGTAGCAAGTTACCCAGTGATTTCATGCATGTTGGAGGTGGACTGGGGTCTGTAGCTTCGTTCTGGGTTGGGATTTAATGAGGACCAATTAGGTGGAAGAAATTTCTTTATAAAAGATCTCTTCTTTCCTTGCCCAGCAGGTTGCACACCAGCACCCGTTACTGACCACTTCCACGTGCCACTGGGGCTCTGAGGAGGAATGACAACTGTGGGCTGCCTGCTTAGGTAAGCATGGACTTAGAGGCCTCTCAGGTTTACTGTCAAAGGCTACCCCAGGGAACCCTCCTCTTGTCATCAGGAGAGGGCTATTCTAAGCTTGCTGTTGGCCTCTGTCCTCAGTGCTGGAAGACTGTACCCTTGTTCATGCCTAGAAGTCTATTTAAGGTGCTGGAGCTAGTGCTGCTCTGACTATGCCTCAGAAACCCCCAGGCAAATCCTGCCCCTGACATGGATCACTAACTCTGTTAAATGTTTCCTGAGGCCTGGCAGTGACCCACATCTGCCCCAGCACTATCCACTGACCATACGTGTGTGTGTGTTTGTTTGCAGCCTGCTGAGGCAGAGCACTGTAAAGGCAGCTGGCCCCACACCCTGTCACCTGCACACATCTTCCTGGTGGGCTGACAGCAGCAGGGCCTCGCTTACTCGTGTGCGCCGCCAGGCCTATGCACGCCTCTACCCAGTGTTGCTGGTCAGGCAGGATGGCTCCACCATCCATATCCGCTACAGGGAACCACGGCGCATACTGGCGGTGAGCTTCTGCACCAGGCATTCCCTGATGCCTGGCTAGGGCCCAAGGCCAGGCGGCTGGGATAGTGGCCAGGCAGCTTGGGATGGACAGGTGGCTGCAGGGAGAGGAGAACAGGTTGTTGTGGGGGAGCGGGGTGAAAGCTCAGAACTCACTCCAAGCAGCAACGTCAGATAAGATTAACGAGTTGGCTCAGCGCCTGTAGCTCAAGTGGCTAAGGCACCAGCTGCATACACCAGAGCTGGCAGGTTCAAATCTAGCCTGGGCCTGCCAAACAGCAATGACAACTGCAACCAAAAAATGGCTGGGCATTGTGGCGGGCGCCTGTAGTCCCAGCTGCTTGGGAGGCTGAGGCAAGAGAATCACTTAAGCCTACGAGTTGGAGTTTGCTGTGAGCTGCAATGCCATGGCACTCTACCCAGGGCAACAGCTTGAGACTCTGTCTCCAAAAATATATATATATACACACACACACACATATATATATATATATACATATATATATAGAAAGGCTGAGTGCAGTGGCTGACACCTATAATCCTAACACTCTGGGAAGCTGAGGTAGGTGGATTACTTGAGCTCTGGAATTTGAGACCATCCTGATCCAGAGCAAGACCTTGTGTCTAAAAATAGCTGGGTATTGTGGTGGGTGCCTCTAGTCCTGGCTCTTGGGAGTCTGAGGCAAGAGAATTACTTGAGCCCAAGAGTTTGAGGTTGCTATGAGTTATAACACCATAGCAATCTACCAACGGTGACAAAGTGAGACAGTCTCAAAAAAAAAAACAAAAACAGAAAGTACAAAAAAATTTTTTTTTCTTAGAATGAAAGCTCTGAAGGGAGACAAAGTCCAAAGTCCCAAGCCACACTGGTGCTTTTGACCTCTCCTGCAGATGCCTATAGATTTGGATACCCTGTCCCCTGAGGAACGCCGGGCCAGATTACGGAAACGAGAGGCTCACCTCCAGCCCAGAAAGGAGTACGAGGAGGAGCCCAGTGATGACTTTGATGTGGAGCGCTACCGGCAGTTCTGGACCAAGACCAAGAAATGACCGTGGCTGGATTGGCAAGAAGTTGCCTCAGGGATCTGCTAGGACTGGATGGTATCTTTTGTTAAATGACACTTTCTGGAAGCCATTGCTTCAAGTCTCTGTGTCTTCTTCCCTCTTGGTATGCAGCTTTCCTCTCTGAAAAGCACCAGCTCAGGTGCACAGAGGCTTCAGGATTGGTTTAGGTTAAACCTGCAGGTTTAGGACACCGCTTCAGGGCTGTGGTGCATACAGACAGCTTGGCAGGAGACACTTAATACTCTGCAGCCCAGTTACTGAGCTCTTGACTGCATAGCAGTGCTTGGGTGGTGATTAGGACCCAGACACCATCCTCAGCCAGGCAGACATGAATCATTCAGAACCATCCAGACCATAGCAGGCCACATCAGTGCCCAGGCTGCCTTGGGTTGGTGAAGGAGGGCAAGGTCCTGCCCCTCCAAGGGCTCCCAGGGGAACAGCCAGCCCTGGTTGTCCCTGCCTCCTTAATAGAGTCTGCAGAGCACTGTAGTTACATGCAGCCAGAGCATATCCAAACACCCCAGTTGCAGTTGCCCAGGGGTTGATGTCGCTAGACATGGGAGTGTACTTTCCAAACTCATATACCAAACACAGGCTTAGGATATTGCAGGAGGCTGGGCTGCTCTTTTTTCCCATCCTGGGGCACTTCAGGTCTCCTCCTTACCACACCTCTGTGCCTTGGGGCTGCCTTTTTTCGTATCCTGGGGCATGTCAGGCCCTGTGGCTGCTTTTGAGGATCCTGGCTCTTGGGCTGTGTCTCCTGAAGATCCAACTCTGTTTTGGTGGGTAGCTTTCTAGGGTAATGGAGTAGTTGGATTTACTGTCTAGGGTCACCCTCCAGTAATAAGGCTTGTGGTTGTGAGCAGCTAAGCAGGCCCCCATCTTACAGACCCTGTTCTGGCCCCTCTGTCTTCCCTCTTGTCCTCAGCTCCACTGAGCAGATCCTCATGAGGATGCCCCTACCCCTGCATCTGTCCCCGTGACTCAGCAGTGCCTGACCTGGCCCGCAAGAAACACTGCTCTGTGCCCCTGAGAACCTTCCTGGGAGTCACCTGGTTATTCTCTGTGTACCTCCTGTGGGCTGCAGGACAGGACTCTATGCCATGCACGCCATGCAGCTGTCCCCCTTAGGACATGTGATTTATGTTCCTACATGTGGATGAAGGCTCATCCTGGTGCCTTCAGTAGGAAAGCACAGGGTATCAATTCATTGAGTAAATGAGTGAAGGAGTTCCCACAAGAGAGTGCTCCAGACCTTCCCAGAATGGGGCCAGTTAGGATTCCAAAGAATCACTGAACACCAGGGTAATTAGCCCAGGGGTACAGGGGTGGGGAACCAGCAGCTTTAAAGCTGCATGTGGTGTTTTGACTAAAATCAAATTTTATAGAGCAAATACTTGTATCTTTATTAATACATTTTTGTTCTTTTATATTTTCATTTTATGATTATTATTATTTTTTTGAGACAGAGTCTCAAGCTGTTGCCCTGGGTAGAGTGCTGTAGCATCACAACTCACGACAACCTCAAACTTTTTTTTTTTTTTCACACACAAGTCTAACTTTATCAACCTCAGTAGAGTGCTGGGATGTCACTGCTCACAGCAACCTACACCTCCTGGGCTTAGGCGATTCTCTTGTTTCAGTCTCCCGAATAGCTGGGACTACAGGTGCCCACCATGATGCCTGGCTATTTTTGTTGTTGCAGTTTGACCGGGGCTGAGTTTGAACCTGCCACCCTCAGTATATGGGGCTGGTGCTCTACCTCAAACTCTTGGGCTCAAGCGAGTCTCTTGCCTCAGCCTCCCAAGTAGCTGGGACTACAGGCGCCCACCACAATGTCTGGCTTTTTTTTTTTTTCGTAGTTGTCATTTGGCAGGCCTGGGCTAGATTTGAATCCGCCAGCTCTGGTGTATGTGGCTGGTGCCTTAGCCGCTTGAGCTATAGGTGCCAAGCCTTGTTGTTGCAGTTGTTTTTAGCTGGCCTGGGCTGTGTTCGAACCCACAGCCTCAGTGTATGTGGCTGGCACCCTTAACCACTAAGCTATGGGCACTGCCTCATTTTATTTTTAAAATAGACATATTTAAAATACAAAGGAATTGGCTTGGCGCCCATAGCACAGTGGTTATGGCACCGGCCTCACACACTGAGGCTGGCAGGTTTGAACCCAGCCCAGGCCTGCTAAACAACAATGACAACTGCAAGAACAACAACAAAAAAAAGAGCTGGGCATTGTGATGGGCACCTGTAGTCCCAGCTACTTGGAAGACTGAGGCAAGAGAATCACTTAAGCCCAAGAGTTGGAGGTTGCTGTGGGCTGTGATGCGATAGTACTATACCAAGGGCGACCTAATGAAACTCTTTTTTCAAGAAAAAAATACAAAAGAATAAGTTTCAGTGAAATAATCCTCCCAGATTGACTGGCATAATTAGAACATTAGTAACCCATAAGGATAAATTGACGGCTGCCATGCTCATGATTTATTGATTTATTTCTAACTCACCTGCCTGCCTGGTGCCACTGCCTCTTGGGGCTTGTTGGCAACAGTTTATGGGGGGTCAAGTACACCAGTCTATTATCAGCTTTTTTTTTTTGAGACAGAATCTCAAGCTGTCACCCTGGGAATGCCATGGCGTCACAGCTCACACAACCTCAAACTCAGGCTTAAGCAATTCTCTTGCCTCAGCCTCCCAAGTAGCTGGGACTACAGGCATTCTCCACAATGTCCAGCTATTTTTTTGTTGTGGTTGTCTTTGTGTTTAGCTGGCCTGGACCGGGTTCAAACCTGCCAGCCTCAGTGTATGTGGCCAGCGCCCACCCACTGAGGTACACTGCCTGTTACCAGCTTTAGACAGTGGTGCACTCTGTTTCTATTTAAAGTAGAATTTGTGAATAGTTGCACAGCTCAACGGTATTTTTTTTTTGTCATGTCAAAGATCAAGAGAATACTGAAGGAAGAAAACAGATTTTTTAACGAGTACTGGGAATTGCAATATTATTATTATCATTATTATTGAGACAGAGTCTGTCTCATTGTGTTGCCTCAGCCTAGCTCACAGCAACCTCAAACTCCTGGGTTTAAGTGATTCTCCTGCCTCAGCCTCCTGAGTAGCTGGGACTACAGGCACCTATCACAACACCTGGCTAAAGGATCACAATATTTTAGACTAGGGAGTGGTGTGAAAGGCTGTAGTATGTAAATAAAACGATGAAAAGCAAAACCCAAGAATTCTTTCAAGCAGCAATAAAACCTGGAGATAATGCCACTGAAGCAACTTAAAAAGTAGGTTATGTATTCAAGAAAAAAGGGAAGCCGTTCAGTGTTATAGAATTGTGAAGAATAGGGTGTTGAAGTTATAGGATACTTAGACTGTGATAAGTTTCAAAGTACATACAACTGCCTCTTTCAAGAAGAACCAAAACTGATAGGCAGTATGAAATAGCCTTCATCATGCAATACTTCAAAAGGAAAATATGTATTACTCATCATTGTGGATGAATCAACTGATAATAGCAACTCAGGTTTAATACTTCATTTGGGTCATAATGGAAGATTTTTTTCTTTGCTTCAAAGAGTTACTCACTTTGGGTACTCTTGCAAACAGCAGGTGGGAAATAGATACGGTGAACAACTTTTCAGATAAATGTCACGAAGTTGGACTGAATTTGGTAAATTTAGTGAGTGTATGTGCAGACAGATGGTGCACCTTCCACCACAGAAAAACAAAGGGTTTATTACACAGATCAAAAGAAACATGTTAACAGATCTAGATGCTCTCATTTCATTGTATCCTGCATCAGCAAAATACCTGCTAATGCTACTCTTTTTTTTTTGGACAGAGTCTCATTTTGTCACCCTTGGTAGAGTGCTGTGTTGTCATAGCTCACAGGAACCTCAAACTCTTGGGCTCAAGCAAGTCTCTTGCCTCAGTCTCCTGAGTAGCCAGGACTAGAGGTACCCGCCACATTGCCCAGCTATTTTTAGAGATGGGGTCTCTAGCTCACGTTGGTCTGGAACTGGTGAGCTCAAGCAATCTGCCCACCTTGGCTTCCCAAAGTGCAGGGATTACAGGCTTGGGCCACTGCCCCTGGCTAAACCTACTATTTTGAGTGACACTTTGTCACAAGTTATAAATATTGTTAACTATCTTGGTGCAAATGCAGCACAGCATCATCAGCTGGGTAACATGCTAAAGTTGAATGATGAGGTGGATTTATAGTACCATTCTGAAGTTCATTAAGCTGTCTCAGGGTCAGGTATTCACTAACATTTTCTCTCTGCCAGAACACATAGTTTTGATGAAGAACAGAATCAGGAATGTGAATTGTGTTTTTAGTTTCATAAGGCTTTTAATTTGTGAGTTTTTAAATTGTTCTTCTCCCTTTCTACTATTATGCCTTAAATAAGCTAGGAACCCTAAAAGCAATGTGAATTATTGAAAGATAATAACAGGAATGCAGCATTTCTGTGTGATGTGTTAAATCAGAATGACTTGAAAATTTTAACTAAGTCTGCATATGAAAAATCTAAGCATTTTGAAAGAAAATTATTGCTTTTAAAACACCTCTTCAAAAGGAAATTTCAAATGAGTATTTTCCCCAGTTAGCAAAGGTCATTGATGAACAGGATGATATATGCAAATCATTTGAATACACAGCTATATAGACCTGCTAATTGAGAATACGGTAAAAGGTTCACCAACTTTGAGAATTGTGACACCGCATTCAAATTAGCATATCAGCCTCACCTAGTTGATGTTACCAAAGCATCTATAGAACTACAGATGGAATTGATTGAGTTCTCAGCAGATGACATGTTAAAGTCATTGTTGGATGCTAAGAAAAATCCAATGGAAACATAGAAAAATGCAGTTGAATACCCACGCCTTCAGCACCATGCCCACAAAATGATTTCTTGCTGCAAATCTACATTCTCCTACCTCACCTAAGTCATTATACCCTTATGGTCACAAATGATTGTTACCCACCTACAGAATCAACTAAAACTGTGGACCTCCATGCTGCAATCAAATATTCAAATGCTTTCCAACAAAAACAGACACAACAAAGTCATTAAAAGGTTATTTAACTTTAAAATTAACAAATACCTTTCATTTTTCAAAATTATTATGTACATAGATTTTTATAAAATAATGTACATTTTTAGGCATATCTAATTGAAGATTTTTGAATGTGGCCTTACTTGATCATAGCTAAATTAATGTGGCCTTCCAATGTGTGAAGTTCCTCACTCAAGGTGGGTGAATTGCTTGAGCTCAGGAGTTCAAGACCATTCTGAGTAAGAGTGAGACCCCCATTTCTAAAAAAATAGCTGAGTGTTGTGGAAGCCTAAAGTCCCAGCTACTCGGTAGGCTGAGGCAAGAGAATCACTTGAGCCTAGGAGTTTGAAGTTGCTATGAGCTATGACACCATGGCACTCTACCAAGGGTCTCAAAGGGAGACTGTCTTACACACATATACATGCACACACAAAGTTTTACTACTCAGCCATTAAAAAAATGGTGATCTTTTATAACCACCTGGCTGGAACTAGAGCCCATTCTTCTAAGTGAGGTGTCACAAGAATGGAAAAACAGCGCTCACCCCCGTAACCCTAGCACTCTGGGAGGCCAGGGCAAACGGATTGCTTGAGCTCAGGAGTCTGCTAAAAAAAGAAAAACTAGTTGCCAGTGCAGTGGCTCATTCCTGTAATCCTAACTCTGGGAGGCTGAGTGGATGGATTGTTCTGAGCTCACAGGTTCCAGTCCAGCATGAGCCAGAGCAAGACCCCATCTCTGAAAATAGCTGATGTTTTAGCGCCTGTAGTCCCAGCAGCTACTCAGGAGGCTGAGGCAGAAGAATCACTTGAGCCTAAGAGTTGGAGGTTGCAGTGAGCTATGATGCCACAGCATTCTATCAAGGGTGACAAAGTGAGACTGTGTCTCAAAAAAGAAAAAAGAAAAAAAATCTAGCCTGGGGTAGGAACGAAGGCCTGAAGTATGAAGGCTGAAGCAGGATTGCTCAGGCCTAAGAGATGTTGCTGTGAGCTATGACCCCATCGCTCTATGGAGAGTGACAGAGTGAGACTTTCCAAAAAAAAAAGAAAAACACCTCATGTTCTTGATACTAAATTGGAACTAGTAGATTAATGCTCATGTGCACATATGGAAGCAAAACTCAAGGGAAATCAAGCGAGGGGGAGGGGGAAAGAGGGGCTGGGTAAATTCACACCTAACAGGTGCAATGCATATATTCGGGGTGAAGGACAAAGTCACAACATTGACTTAAAATCTACAAATGCAATTTATGTAACCGTATGATACTCTGAAATAAAGAAATAAGTTAAACATATTTTGCAAAGAAATAAAATATTATGTAATAGGGAGGAATGTTTTAAGCTCAAACCAAAACACAGCGACTCAAAAGAGCTGTTAAAAAAAATGATGGCCTTGGGCGTCACCTGTGGCTCAGTGAGTAGGGCGCCAGCCCCCTATACCAAGGGTGGTGGGTTTGAACCCGCCCGGCCAAACTGCCACAAAAAAATAGCCAGGCGTTTTGGTGGGCGCCTGTAGTCCCAGCTACTTGGGAGGCTGAGGCAGGAGAATAGCCTAAGCCCAAGAGCTGGAGGTTGCTGTGAGCTGTGACGCCACAGCACTCTACCAGGGAGACAAAGTGAGACTCTGTCGCTTAAAAAATAAATAAAAAATAAAAAAAATAATCGATGGCCTTTAGCTGCTTTAACCCTGCACGGCCTTAAGTCTTTTTAATAATTTAGAAACTATTGTCACAGAGTCTGTTTTGTAGGTCTTATGATTTATGTTTCAATATTGATACTGGTCATTTGCATTTAAACTCTAAAAGGGGGGCGGTATAGCGAGGCGTGTCCGTTCCTCCCTTCCCTTCAGGGCTGAAACTCGAGTTTAAGGTTTGTCTGTGGCCCTCTTGGCCAAGAGTGGCTCCGTTTAGTTGGGATGGGGCTTGGAACTTTATTAAGGTGACCAGATTTTAACGTTGGTAAAGCGGGACA